CAATGCTAGGGAATTCTGGGAGCTGTAGTTTTGTGAGACATTGAGCCTCTTATGTCAGAGAGCTCTGGTGCCACAATAAACTACAATTTCCAGGATTCCCTAAGACTGAGCCAAGGCAGTTAAAGTGGTCTCAAACTGGATTATATCTGCAGTCAGTTTTGGACCTTAGTCTCAAAGGTGCTACAAGATCCCTTTGCATACTGATATTGTAGACTAACATGTCTCTGCATTCTACCTCTATCGCATTGAGTCATGGCAATTAAAGTGGTGTCCAACTGCTTTATTTCTCCAGTGTGGCTATACCCTATAAACTCTATATAAGAAGAGTTTCTCTTGATGAGTGAGTAAGAAATATCCTGTCTTCCATTTAAAGATATATTTGAGCAGCTGTGAAAAGTTGCAGTCAAGGGTTGTCGGGACTGGCATAGCAAGTGTGGCTATTTTAGCAAAGATGAGAATGTGAAACTCAGATGAAAAACAGTGGCCATGTAACTTGGTCTCATGTTGCTTTGCTTGGAAAAGTAGAAGAGGAGCTTGCATAGGCAGGGAGGAACTGGGAAAAATGAGGAGGCATATACTCCTGCCAGGTTCAAATGATGCAAAGGTTATTCAAAGGTTTTCGGAAATAAAATTGTTTTCAAACAGAAGCTTTGATGTTTCATCTCTCTCTCTCTCTCTCTATATCTATATCTATATCTATATATAGATATGAAGTTCAAAACAACTTTGAATAAAAATGTGAAGGCAGTTAGAAAATGCCATCACAGATGCACTATGATTTTACAGGAAAAGAAAAGGAATTAATAATAATAATAGTAATAATAATAATAATAATAATGATAATAATAATACTTTATTTATACCCCGCCTTTAGCCGTAGCCATCAAGGTGGCTTACATCTAAAACCAATACATAAAACAATTCTTACAATAGGTTACAAAACAATAAGCTAACACTATTAACCCCCCCTTAAAAATGAATTAAATACAAGTCTGAGTTAAAAACTAAAGTTAAACAATAAACAAATTAAAAGCAATAACTTTCAATAAACTCTCTGGGTAAGGTGCAGAAGACTTAGGCCATATGATCAAATTTAGTTCTTTGGCGAAAGCACCCCCCCCCATTAAAGTTTAACTCTTTTTCCTTCCCTCAGGCTGCATCTACATTGCAGAATTAATGCAGTTTGACACCCCTTTGACTGCCATGGCTCAATGCTATGGAATTCTGGGATTTGTAGTTTTGTGAGATAGCCTTCTCTGGTGCCACAACAAACTACAAATCCCAGCATTGCATAGCATTGAGCCAGGTTAGTTAAAACAGTGTCAAACTGCATTAATTAATTCTGCACTGTGGCAGCAGTCTTGAATATGGGTCTTAATTATTTATGATTCTAGTTTTATCTCTAGATAAAAACATGGCAGCAGCTTCAGTTCCACCAGTGCTTTGAGCACTTTAAAAAGCACCAGTCGGCATTGCAAGAGATGCCTCCTTTTAACTTACCATATCCACAGCTACCATGCAATTCTCTGTCCTGCTCCAGATGCTCAAGTAAGTGTTGCTATCGTCCAAGGGAACAAACCAAGCCAGTCCAGGATCATATGCAGATGTAAGAGAAGAAGTATGGTCAAAGCCAGGGGTCGGCAACCTACGGCCCCCGGGCCGTTTCTGGCCCAGGTCGCT